ACTAATTTAAAATATATACATGAATTAGAAAGATAAAAATGAATAAAGTTCAGTTTTCTTACCGTGTTAAATACAAAGTTGTTCCATCACTTTTGGATAACGTGACATGAGAGGAAGCATCATCATTTGAAACATCAACATAGCCAACACCACTTTTTCTAAAACAAGATTTTAACAAGGGAGATAATCCATGTGGATTTAAATGATAATAAATGTCATATAAAAACCAGAAGAAAAAACTGGGATAACAGATAACAGACTTCACTCTGAAAATAAATCCCTCACGGAAATAAGTGGAAGATTTTTATTAAAAAAAAAAAAAAAAAAAATTTACCCTTTGCATTGGACTTAAACAATATCAAAGACCGTTTTTTTTTGGTTTTTTAAGCAAATCCCACCAAGCAAGGTGGGAGTGCCACTAGCACGCAGGGGGTTAGAGAGAGTAAGAGTAAGTGTAAAGAGGAGTGTTTGGGAAAAGGATAAAGAGAAGGGAAGGGATCAAGGTCAAGGCATCAGAAAATGTCGATTGGCATTACATTTGAATATTAGAAGATTATAGTTATCAAGGAAGCAAGTGATAGGAAGGGATGTCTACTGACGGGAGGTGTGAGTTAAGAAGCTGTTGGAGTAGAAGAGATGGCTACATTTAGCTGTTTTGACAGTGTAAGGGTGGGACTGAGATGCCAACCTAGTAGCACGCTTAAATTCATGCTTTTTGGGAACCAGTGAAAGCATCTCATGGCAGCAGTTGCCATGAAAGTACTTGTAGAAAAGACAGAGGGAAGCCACAGTACGTCTGTGAGAAAGTGACTGTAGACGGGATGACAGATCAGAATCAATAATGTTGTATATCTGTCTCTAGATTTTGTCAAGGACCTCAAGATGAACAGCAGAAGCACATATATGGCAGCAGTATTCCATGCAAGGATGAATGGTTAATTTGCAGATTTGAAGGATGGACTCAGGTGAGAAAAAACCTGCTGTCACAACACAGAGAACCAACTTTCCTTGCGATAGATGAAGCTATATATTCAAACTAGTTGTTCTACTTCAGGTTAGTGGACAGTGTGAGACCAAGCAGGCGTAGTGAGGTGCTCTCATGGAGTTGAGCATCAGCCATCTTGATAGGAGGCAAGGAGGGTTCTCTATGGTGGCCAAATGAGAGCAGTTTCGTTTTAGAGGAATTAAAGTTTACTACTGAGGCTGGAGTAAATGGTAGTGTCGTCAGCGTAGATGTTAACTTGGTCTGTATATTTTTGTTTGTGCTCAACACTTTCTGAATATTAGGCTAAAAGTGAAATTAAGTAAAGATAACAATTAATCATCGACAAACTTGGACCTTTGTGCCTGCAAAAAAATCAGTGTGTCAAAAGGATGGTTTTTCCCTTAACACCACTAATATTTTAACTACCGTCAATCCTCACTAATATTATAAAGTGACAGGCACTATCTAGATATATTCTAGTTATGTCTGAGATTTTATGCACACATGTAATGCCTGAAAACCCAACCACGGGAAAGGCATAAATCCAAATCTTCTATCTGACCCCTGATTACCAAGGAAGAGCGCAGATTGCACTCTTTACACCTGGTTGACATATGGTCTACGAAGAGTACAACATAAAATCATAGATATTAAAGGAATAAAAGTTGAGGAGACCCATGATCACCTACTACTGATATCTGGTCTATGAAGAGTACAACATAAAATCATAAATATTAAAGGAATAAAAGTTGAGGAGACCCATGATCACCTACTACTGATATCTGGTCTATGAAGAGTACAACATAAAATCATAGATATTAAAGGAATAAAGTTGAGGTGACCCATGATCACCTACGACTGATATCTGGTCTAGGAAGAGTACAATTTAAAATCATAGATATTAAAGGAATAAAAGTTGAGGAGACCCATGATCACCTACTACTGATATCTGGTCTAGGAAGAGTACAACTTAAAATCATAGATATTAAAGGAATAAAAGTTGAGGAGACCCATGATCACCTACTACTAATATCTGGTCTAGGAAGAGTACAACTTAAAATCATAGATATTAAAGGAATAAAAGTTGAGGAGACCCATGATCACCTACTACTGATATCTGGTCTAGGAAGAGTACAACTTAAAATCATAGATATTAAAGGAATAAAAGTTGAGGAGACCCATGATCACCTACTACTAATATCTGGTCTAGGAAGAGTACAACTTAAAATCATAGATATTAAAAAGGAATAAAAGTTGAGGAGACCCATGATCACCTACTACTAATATCTGGTCTAGGAAGAGTACAACCCAAAATCATAGATATTAAAGGAATAAAAGTTGAGGAGACCCATGATCACCTACTACTAATATCTGGTCTAGGAAGAGTACAACTTAAAATCATAGATATTAAAGGAATAAAAGTTGAGGAGACCCATGATCACCTACTACTGATATCTGGTCTAGGAAGAGTACAACTTAAAATCATAGATATTAAAGGAATAAAAGTTGAGGAGACCCATGATCACCTACTACTGATATCTGGTCTAGGAAGAGTACAACTTAAAATCATAGATATTAAAGGAATAAAAGTTGAGGAGACCCATGATCACCTACTACTGATATCTGGTCTAGGAAGAGTACAACTTAAAATCATAGATATTAAAGGAATAAAAGTTAAGGAGACCCATGATCACCTACTACTGATATCTGGTCTAGGAAGAGTACAACTTAAAATCATAGATATTAAAAGGAATAAAAGTTAAGGACCCCATGATCACCTACTACTGATATCTGGTCTAGGAAGAGTACAACTTAAAAATCATAGATATTAAAGGAATAAAGTTGAGGAGACCCATGATCACCTACTACTGATATCTGGTCTAGGAAGAGTACAACTTAAAATCATAGATATTAAAGGAATAGAAGTTGAGGAGAGCCATGATCACCAACGACTGAGCTAGAATGTCTCATATAATGATAACCTAATATTCTTGTTTGGAGCTGTATTAAGAATTCTGTTTACAAAAAGAAATCTGAAAACCATCACAATTTTAAAATTTTCATTGGAGAGAGGTCATGTTTGATAGGATCTGAAGTGGGTGAAAATGCTATTCAAATTTTTCATGAAAGATTGAAAATTTGTATTGACAATGTTGGGACGCTTGTTAAGAAATATTCATTTTTTTTTTTTATTTATTCATGAAAAGAAATTTCCATTTTGCATTCCTTTTATTTTGGGTTTTAAATGTGGTGGTTATTGATTATTTTTTTATGGCTTATCAACCTTTTGCAGGTTATTTAAAGCCAGAAAAATATTTTTAGATTTTAAGAATTTTGGGGGAGATAATGATTTTCTGATATAATTCCTACTAATTAACCCATAACTGGGGGAGAAGAGGTGGATTCATACCTTTCCAAAGGGTATTTGCACATAAGTGAAACATAACAAACCCAACTGGAATTGGAACCAGGCACTCTGATTTCCATTTACGAGCCAATAATTGTTACACTACCACACATCCAAGTTTACAGTACCTGGTATTCCCGAGCAGTTACCCATTTAGAAACTAACCAGCCTTAACGTTGCTTAACTTTGGTGATCATACAAGAATCGATGCTTCAATGTGATATGGCCATAAGCCAAATGTGGTAGTTACTTTATTTACACCTATACATACATACATACATATCACTAAAGATACAGGTAAGATGATCAACTCCCTGTACCACTCCTGTAAGTACCTGACTCCACACGTTATCCTCTACCTTTATAAGAGCTAGATCTGCCCTGTCCTCACTTTCCAGTCTTGTGAGAGTTCAAAAGCATCTTGGAGTCCTTGTTGGAAAAGAATTATTTTCCACCCTCACTCTCACAAGTGGGATATGGCAAGCCCTTTACTGCTCTGTTGCGACTTCCATGGAAAGTGCTCTGGCAAACTACATTCCTTGGTATCACCAAATCTAATCTCCATGGATAGGATCCACCATGTCACTTATATAGTAGGAAACCACCCACATTCCCTCTGTACTGCATTGACAAGAAGTAAGTACCACTCAGTTCTTCCAGTGAACCACTGCTCTGTGGAACAGACACCCAAGAGGGTGTTTCCTCAGTCACTACAATCTTAACCTGTTAAGTCTAGAGTTAACCATTATCTTCCCTTACTACCCATACAAACTACCCCTCAATGTAACTCTCTACCTTGAGTGGCCCCAGGGTTTTATACAGGATGAAGTGTATTATGGGAAAAAAAAAAAAAAAAATATATATATATATATATATATATAGTTGGAGTTTGTATGAAGCTTGAGTAGGTATGGGGATGTTTTTCAGTGAGTATCGTAGGTCAAATTTATCCATTTTCGTTAAAAGAATAGCGCGAGTGTTCAACCCATGGGGGAGCGAAATATATGTGAAAAGTGTATATAAATATAAATAAATATATATATATAATTATTTATATATTATATATCTTGGTACTTATTAAAAGCGCTCAATATCAGAGAGAGAGAGCTAACATATTTGGTTGGATAGATGTGAGTTTGTGACCCTGGGTTTCACGCTTTTGCGATCGTCAAACAAACTGATTAATGTTTTAAAAAATTTGGGTTTATATAGATTGCGTGTATTGGTGTTATTGTGGAAGTGGTGGGGGAAACTTCGTCGTTTTGTCATTCATCGTACTAACGCAAACATCGATGTATGCAGACACATATACATACTTGGTCGTCCGTCGAGACTCATACATATATAAACATATGTGGGCTGTTTCAGCTATGACATATGTATGTATACGGGTGGTGTTATGTCTATACATACGCATTTGTATGTTGAAATGTTGAAATTTAAACATTGGAAGTGTGGCGGAAATGTCTCATTAATGTATACGTCATATGTATTTTTCCACTGAAAAATCTTTTCTCGCATGTATGTATATACGTGTGGTGGGGTTTGTGTAAAATTATGATAGGTAAAAATTATTATTATATTTTTGAAAAAAAAAAAAAAAAAAAAATGGGGGTTTATTTGTTATATTTAAAGCTGATTATTTGTTTGTTTTTGGTGACTGTATATGTAACAGGTAGAAATTTGTAACCCTTATTGGTTAATTTATATGGTGATGTTTAATATTCAATGTGCTGGGTGAGAGAGTAGTTCAATTTAATAATGGGTCTATATGATATGATGTGATAGTAATGTTTCAAAGGATTGGAGACAATGATAGTTAGCTAATAGTTATTGTAAATTGGTAGAAATGATTAGTAACGGTGGTGGGAGAATGATAAAACCATGAAACCATGAATGTAGTGTGTATATATATATATATATATATATATATATAAAAAGAAAGAACAGTAAGATATATAATCCGGTGTTCTTAAAGATATTTTTATTTTTACAAAATAGTGCTCCATGTAAATTTACAGAGCATTAATATTATAAATTAATTGATTTAAAATATGTTTTTTTTCGCTACACAGTTATAACCAGGTTTCAAAAATGGAAGCTGAAAGCTTCAAATTTAATTTTGTAATTAAATTAAAGACATTAGTTCCATTTCATCCTCAAGCGAATTTTGGAGTAACTTTTAAAATTACTGGGCTTTAAAGACACAGCAAAAATCATAATTCACATTTACAAGGATACAGAGAAATAAATATATATATATATATATAATTATTTATTTATTTTTGAAAAATAATAATGTAGTGTTCTTTGTGTTTTTTTTTTTTTAAATAAAGCGTTGGATGGTCAGTTGATAGAATTAGCCTGATTATGCCACGAAGTTGAAACCAAGGTCGCATATTCTATTGACCTCCTAATTTTTTAAAGTTTAAAGCTCTACATGTTATTTTTACTTTCATTTTTTTTACGCATGTATTGATTACTTTTTATACTACTTTTTCTTGGTCTGATTCAACTCTGACCATTAACATATATATATATATATATATATAATATGATAGTTGTTGGTTCATTAACTGAGTAAGGCTATTTCTAACACATTAACATACTAAGTTAACTCTTGGACTGACAACACAAATTTTACAGTAAATTGTACATGTGCATTACAAAAATTCACTTGATTAGAATTACATAAAGCATAAATCACTCTATGCAAATGCTATTAAAAGTAAATTAAACATTCTCAATTGACATAAATTGTAAAGACTATACTGAATCCATTGCTAGGTCAGCTGCTAGGAAAGTTGCTTCACTGTGTCGTGTGAGACAATTTTTCTCTCCAGAATCTATCTTATATATCTATAAGTCTACCATTCGTCCATGCTTAGAATATGGCTGTCACATATGATCCAGTGCTCCTGCTATTTACATTGAGTTCCTTGATAAAATCCAAAGAAGAATCAGCAATACTATTGGTCCTGATCTGGCAGCTCAGCTTCAGTCACTTTCCCATCATCATACAGCTACCTTTCTGTGCCTTTTCTAGAAATACTTTCATGGTAATTGTTCAGATGAGCTCTTCACTACAGTACCTAGACTTTTTGAATTTAAGTGAAGTTCTAGACTGATTTCAAGAGCTCATCAATTTACAATGTAGATGTAACCATAAATTCTATGCTAACAATTTCTTTTCTTGCACTAGTGGAATGCCCTTCCAGCTCCATGCTTTCCAGCCAACTTTAATTTGCAGAAATTTAAATGCAATGTCAATTGCTATCTACTGTCCATCTGATTACTCTTTCCTCTTCCTGCTCATTATTAATGTTTCTGTTCCTAATTCTTCCACACCCAGTAACCCCTTGTGTCTTAGGGGCTTTACTGCATTGCTTGCAATAACACCGTTTCAAAATAAATAAAAAAATGCAATATGAGGTCTCATCAATTTGCAGTTGAGCTGACTAGATGTAACCATAAATTCTATGCTGAAAGTTTCTTTTCTCACACTTCTCACTTGTGGAACTCCCTTCCTGCTCCATGCTTTCCAGCCAACATTAATCTGCAAAACTTTAAATGCAATGTCATTCACTATTTACTGTTCCCTTGATTACTAGTAATGTTTCTGATTTCTCTAATTCTTCCACCCCTGTAACCACTTGTGTCTTAGTGGCTTTAATGCCTTGCTTGGGGTAATATTAATTTTTTTTAAAATATATAAATCATGTTAACAAGTAAAAAATTTGAATATAACAAAATCGGTGAAAGACATGCAAGCAGCCTATAAACTGCACGATACACAGAATCTTAAGTCCTTTAGGGGATTTACACTTTTTCACTAAAGACAACCCAAAAACTAATTGATGCATTTTTTGAATAGGGCAAAGAAATATCAAACATCAATAACAAAACTTACTGGTCAACTTTTAACAACCCCAAATCCTGCAAATCTTCCAACAAATTTTGAGATGATTTGGAATACATGGATTCTCCATGATAAACTGTAAAAGAGATTCCAAGCCTCTAAAAGAAAGAGAGAAGAAAATGGAAACATTAAATATTAAGCGCCATAGAAATTGATAAAATCTATTTTTCCTCATCTTATGGTTGCTTTTAATCATAACTTTCCAGAACAAATGCTCTACAACAATTAAATTAGTGTAAAGTAAAAATAAAGTAATTTTTGTTTAGTCTTTTCTTCATATTATACATTTTTCTTGATAAAATCACATCTGACCATTCCATACATAAAATGTAGTAGAACTCAATAAATAACCTCCAATGAGACTTGAACCCACATCCAATATCCTTTTATAATTGGTGATGATGGTGCTTTATCTCAGAGACCAAATAACCTTAAGATTCAAATTAGTCATCCTAGTATAACAAACCTTTCTATTATACTTACACTGTACATTTTCTTGTACTCTTCAATACTCAAAAGATGGAACCTTTGCCAAAGTTCTAAATACCTTTTATCCCCTGAAATGTAAACAGATAATCATTAGCAAATTCTAATTAAAACATGCAAATGCAAAAGTAGGAATTAATTTAATCTTTACATAGATCTGTTCATTTTTACTGATATGCCTAAAATCTATACAGGGGTTTCTCCTTATTCAGGTTTTCAGTTGGCTCCAGAAATAAATTTTATGCTTTACTCAATAATGGCTACAAAGTATAATTCAGAGATGCCAAAGACAAACTGTAAACTGGTTCCTGTATGTAAAATCCAAGAGTTCTTGGCTTTATAAGGAAAAGAGAAAAAAATCATATGCTGGGGTTACTGTGGTAAAAACAATTCAGTCTTTTTTCTTTCTTTTTTTTAAAAATGCCATGTCATTTCAGGACATAGGCAATCATGGCTCTCTACAAATTGCTTTACTTTATCATCTGCAAATTGCCATGATTTCATGTGAAAGGTAAGAGAATTGTTCCCCATTGCCTTCTCCACAGGTAAGAATTCAGAGCTGTCTTTCTACTTTCAGAATGTAGATTATTATGGCTCTCCACACATTCCTTCTTTTTTTTCTATTATCAGTGAATTGCCATGAATTCTGGGGAATTATATTGAAGTTGTTATGGCAGTGATGAACAAAAACTTGGAGAGTAGAGTTAAAGTTGAGTTAACTGAGACATCTGGAAGAGGAATGGCACGTGGAACTAGAATAATCTACCCTAGTGGATAAAATAAAGGGTTCAGTTTGAAATTCCAGTCACCTGAAGAAGGCCAGAGCGAACAACGACCGAAACATTGTGAACATGACAATAAAGATGAGGACAACAGTCTGAACAATGTAAATAGTGTAAATTACAATACCTCATCTAAGAAATATAGATAGGTCCTGAAGAAGGCCGGAGCATATAATGGCCGAAACGTTGTAAACATGACAATAAAGATGAGGACAATAGTCCAAACAATGTAAATAACGTTAAGAGGTGATCATTTTGCTACTTAGAAGTGCTGTGGTTATTTTGAAATTTAAAAAAAAAATTAAACAGTTAATAAAATTAATAATAAATATTTGTGAATAAATGTTTAATCTTCAAAACATTCAAATTAATCACAGTGTTTTTTTTTACATAACTATATACTGCCACATCACATTGATACACTGGTTCCATATTATCACTGAAGTTAAGCAATGTCAAGCCTGATGGGTGACTGCTTGAGAATAGCAAGTACTGTAAGCATGGATGTGTGGGTGGTGTAATGAATAATGACTCAGAATTGTTAATTGGAGAGCCGAGTTCCAATTCCAGTCAAGTTTGTTATATCTACATGCGCAAATACTCTTGGGAAAGGTATGAATCAACCTCTTCTCCTCTTAGCTATGGGTTAATTAGTAAGACTTGTGTCACTAAACTATTATCTTCAAAAATAAAATAAAATTGTGTACAAAAAATGTTTTGATTTCAGGATTAAATAACCCATACATGTTGATATGTCACTAAACAAAAACAACCATTTTACATAAGGTCTCCATGGTAACAATTTTTCCTTAACTTTTTTCAGTTGTTTCAACGATGAAACAGAAATTGAATGAAACATTGGCAACAGAATAAAATTCAAATAGCCAACTGGTTATCACATCTTCCATACTTTATTCGATATTTCATGTCAGTCATTTTATCACACACACACACACACATATATATATATATATATATATATATATATATATATATATATATATATAATAAAAATAAAAATATAGTTTTAAGGTATGGGTTAAAGTGCTCAATATCAGAGATAGAGCATATATTTAAATATAAAAGTGGACATTGAGGTCAACACCTAGCAGTGACATCTGTTTCATGCTTAAATGCAATCATCAAGATAGATCAAGAACAATTTTAAGGGGGAAGAAGTATGACAAAGTGGAACAAAGTTTTTGCGTGATGCGTTTTCTCCTTTAGGATTTCAATGGACTAATTTTATTTTTACATTGATGTGATTACCCATGCGCATGAACAAGAGCTGCTGGGAATTTTAAATTTAAAGATCATATTTTTAATCTATTACCTGTAATAATTGCTAGAGGGAATACATTAGAGAAACCTCAAGGATTTTAAATAAATGATTATATGAACACAAAAGGGATATTTTACAAAACAACACTTTAAACACATTACCATAATGAGACTGACCACAATTTTTATTTTTAAAAATTCTACTCTAATTAAAAGAGAAAACATTTTACTAAGTTAAAAATGTTTAGAGAGTATCTTAATCACGAGATCATCTCTAGTAAATTTGCTTCCAGGTTCTTATAATATTTCACCATTCTTAGATCTTCTATTATTACAAGGTGGTATATTTAATAATAAAAGTGATGGAAACACAAAGAGAAAAAAAATCTAAATGAAATCGTAAAATTTCCGATTGCATATATCTATAAAAGGACAATATGGATAAAGACAAAAGGAAAAGGTATCTTACCAAATCTCACAGAGGATGGAACATATCAGCTAAATTTTCTCTTTATATAATGGAGAGGTCATAGTTGTTCCAATGATAGAAAAGTGTATATTTTAAAGAGAAGAGAGACGCCACAAACGTTCTTGGTTATAATGTGGATTTTTTAAACATATATTATACTTTATTTTCTATATTTTGCTACATGAGTTTCTGGTCTCACGACCTTCATCAGGCAATGAGTGGTTATTTACACGTATTATTAAAAGGAATTAATTTTCCTTATGTTTTTATGTTTAACTTTTGTGTGTAGTAGCAAAAATATTCTTCTGCTTAAGGGGTATCATTTTCGCCACAAGTCCAAGAAAAATTTGAATTACTACTACACACAAAGGACAATGATTAAACATGGGAAAACATAAGGAAAATTAATTCCTTTTAATAATATGTGGAAATAACCACTCTTTGCCTGATGAAGATTGCAAGACCAGAAACGTGTGTAGTAAAAAATATGGAAAATAAAGTATAACATATATTTTAAAAATCCACATTATAACCCAAAAACGGAACCCTATTCTCTTTTAATATATATATATATATATATATATATATATATATATATATATATATATATAATATATAGTCTTAGTCTAAGGTGTGCTATATTTATGGGATAAAGTGCTCAATATCAGAGATAGAGCGTGTATAAATATAAAAGTGAACATTGAAGTCAACACTTAGAGGCAAGTCAACACTTGGCCTCTAAATGTTCACTTATATATATATATATATATATATATATATATATTTGTTATCCTATTTTATCTGTGTCTGTTTTTATCACTCTAAAATAACAAGCTGGATTTATTAATGGAATACTTAATGACCATTTTATATCTGAATAGAAAAGCCAAAGATTTTATGGGCTATACCTTTTTCCATTTTTTGGAAAATCTGCCGTCCCTGTTGGTACATACTGTCTGGATTGTCTGTTTGGCTTGTGGAGATTTCATGAGCAGTATCTTGATTTACTTTTACATAAACCTTTGGATAAAAATAAAAACAGAGAGAAATAAAGCCTTGGTTAATACAAATAATAAATACAAATGGAAGTGAGAACTGATCAGTATCTACCAACTAAGATCCATAGAGGGTAGTATAACAATTTACATATGCTTATCAATACATCTGGGTCTGTGATTGCTGAACGTCTAATTAGTAATCTAATTTGTGCATTGCTAAGGGGGTTATAATAGAACTGAATTGAAAACCAGGAAAAAGATTATTGTCAGGAATTAATGTGAACATTTTTGGCAATATAGTATAATGTAAGTGCATTGCTAAGGATTTTGCTGTAGAAATGAATTGAAAATCAGGAAGAAAGGAATTGTCAGTAACCAGGAATTAATGCAAGCATTACTGTTATAATAGGGATAATTTGCTTTTTTTAAAATTTTTTTACCAAATTTCACCTAATACAAAGCTCATCTACCACTCAAATTAGAGTAGTTGAAAGTAAGAATAGATTATGATTGATGCTTGAATTAAAGAGGTCAAGATTGAAGCATTCAGGAAAGCACTCACGTGGGAGTCTGTTTGACAAAGTGTATGTTTTTGGGGGAAAAGCTGTATAATGTAAATGCATTGTTAATGATTTTACTATATAAATGCATTGAAAGTCAAGAAAAAAAAGATTGTCCATGGTAAGGAATTCATGCAAGCATTATGGACAGAATAGAGCTATTTATAATAATTAGTTTATCATCAAATATTGTACAATGCAAAATTATGTTGACATCCAAGTGATTCACTGCTGAACTGATTTATTTGGGAAAATTTTGGAAAAATCAGCAACTTGTGACTCACCTGAAAAAGATGCTGTAGGGCATTTGATTTCAGCTCTTCATCGTTGCCATATTTATAGAACCCAGCTGCCAACAAGCCTAAAACAGAAAAGGAAAAAGGCCTCAAGGAAAATGTAACTATTTTCATCATTTTGAATGAACTAAAGAATAAAAACTGACTGAATTTGTAGGATGAGGAGTTATCATTATTTATACTGTTTACAGTTCGGACGATCATCAGGTGTATTTCCGATTAAAAAATAGCCTAGCGCAGGGGTCAGCAACCTACAGTACACATGCCACACACGGCGTGCCAAGCAATTTCCAATGGCACACATCCACAAATGATATCACAAAGTCAAAACAAATAAGTACAACAAGGCAAAGATATTAAGCAGTTTCAATTTTAATATATACTAAAGTATGTATACTATATATTACTATATAAAATATATTGTAGAACAGGTATATTGATCTTGACTTGTATAAAAAACACATATGCTCTTGGTACACTGAATGATTTTAAAACCCTAAGTCGGCTCATAGTTAGCAAAAGGTTACTGACCCCTGGACTAGTGGATTAAAGCACTGGTTCATGATTTTGGTGATATGGTAATCGTGAGTTCAATCCTGGACAGGACTGTGTATACTTGAACTCAGTCAAACCATGGCGAGCAATAAATGAGCAGTACTAAAGATAAATACAAGATATGGGGAGTGTAATGAGAACAGTCTACCCCCATAAATTAAATGAAGGATTTAGCTTGGAATTCCCTGAGGGTTACCTGAAATGATACTTGCCTGATAAAGGCCAAAACCTTTCAATAGCAACAACAAAGGAAAAGATATAAAACAATGAGGAAAAAGTATATAAATAATTTGTAAATAAAATTTCAGAGTTTATTAGTGTTTGCAGCATACCTACAGATGATAACGGGCATGTCCCCATTCACATAAATACAGTAGTAAATGCTGTATGTTGGTCTGCAGTTGGAGATTTGCCTCCAGCTGTGCTGGTCAAACTCTCTGTCTCCGGGCAGAGAGGATCCCCAGACAAGGCTATGTTGAAGGGCAGAATCTTGTCTCAGGAAATAGCTACCTGACCCCATTTTATATGGGATCTGCCTGGGAATTTTTGGCTGAACCTATGGGCTTAGACACCCCACATTAAATTTGGCCTTGTGCCACATCTGACCGAGTGGGGCGGTTAGTAGATATCATGCAGTTGGAGATTCATTGTGGAATTCACTTGACTCACTTCTAGCAGTTGACTACTTCTATGCATCGCTGGCAAATCTTATATGTGTTGTTCTTGTCCTAAGTATTATCGTTCATTACCAACCTTCGTTTGATTATTCTATTCAGTAACCTTTCCTAGGTTACAACAATTAGTAAATAATTCATCTTGCACATTTTCATTTATAAATCTACCATTCATCTGTGCATTGAATAATGTTGCCATATCTAATCTGGTGCTCCTGCTATACATCTGGAGATTCTTGACAAAATCCAAAGAAGGATCTACAATGATATCAATCCTGACTTGGTATCTCGACTTCAGTCACTTCTTCTCCGACATGATGTGGCTTCCTGCTGTCTTTTCTAGAAATATTTTAATTGTAACTGCTCTGACAAGCTTCTTTTCCCTGGTGCTCCATATACATGCATTTAAACATGCTACTAGATTGGCATTTCGGTCCCACCCCCTTTACTGCTGAAATAGATAAATGCAACAGCAACTTCTACTCCAACAGTTTATTTTCTTGCACTTCCCACCTGTGGAACACCCTTCTATTTATTTGCATCCCTGATAACTACAATCTTTACAAACTTAAATGCAATATCAATCACCATCTTCTATCTTCTTGAAACCTGTTCACCTTTTGTCCTTTCCTTATCCCCACCCTCTTCACAGCTTTCTTTTTCACTTTTACTCTCTGTAACCCCCTGCACACTAGTGGCATTACTGCCTTGCTTGGGGCAAAAATGATTAAAAAACACACTTTGTCTGTGGGAAAATTATCCAACATTCATCACCATCAAATTATCCAACATGCATCACCATCACCAAACAAAGAAAACTGCAGTTCAACTCTCTTTTCTTTGTTTCCAATGAATATCTCCTATTTCTAATACTTTGCTTAGTTTCTGAAAGGCATCTTTCATTTTTACTTTCCCTCAAATTTCTGTATTACATTTTCCATTGTTGTTACTACTCTATCCAGTTAAATTTCTGTCCTGCTCGACCTTGATATTCCTAATATAGAGCTCGCACCTTGGGCTATGTTATTTGAATATGGCAGATCTGAATGTAAACAATACTGATTAGAAAGATTTGAATGCTTGAAATGATAGCAAAAAACTGACTTACCAAACTGAGTGCCCCAATCACCCAGGTAGTTAATCCGCACTACTTTGTACCCCATCCCTTCATACAGATTTGATATGAAGTTACCAATGATTGTTGAGCGAAGATGACCAGCATGGAAAGGTTTCGCAATGTTGGGGGAACTGTTAAAAAGCAAAGAAAACTGTAGAGTTATATAATCAAGCGATGTTTGTATTGCCTATAAATGATAGGAAACATTAACATATCCAATAGTTGTCTATATCTCTGAGATGAGGTATCATGATTACTTGCATTATTTACATTATTTGAATTTTTATCCTCATCTTCATTGCCATATTCACAACGCTTCAGCCATTGTACACTCCAGCCTTCTTCAGGTGATTGGAATTTCAAACCCAGCCCTTTATTTCAGCCATTGGGGTAGATTTTTCTAGTTCCACGTGCCATGACTCTTCCTCAAGGACACATGGCCCAGTGGATAAAGACGTTGGTTAGATCCAGTGACTAAAACCATAGGGTTATAAGTTCAATACCTGGCCACAACAGAGGCAAACCAAAAACTTGGAGAGTTGAGTTAAAGGGAAATAACCGAGACATTTGGAAGAGGCATGGCACGTGGAACTAGAACAATCTACACTGGTGGATGAAAGAAAGGGTTAGGGTTTGAAATTCCAATCACCTGAAGAAGGCCGGAGTATACAACAGCCGAAACGTTGTGAATATGGCAACGGAGATGAGGATAAAAGTCCAATTAATGTAAATAATGCAAGTATATCCAATATTGTTTGAACATATAAATCTCTTCTTTGTATATTTCCTGTTGTTAACATCTTGACTGACCTATTGTTTCGTCCTCATTAGGACTGTGAGTAAAGAATGAATTTGTCTCCAACAACCTACTCACTACAGAAATTCTTTATTGCTATACTAAACGGATTCATCTATATTTACAATGTCAGGTATACCAAATACCCAGATTGATTGATTCATTCATTTTCTCTAGCTTATCAACCTTTTGAAGGTTATTTAAAGCTAGAAGATAATTTTATATTGTATGAATTTGTGTGGGGAGGGGCAGAGATAATACTGATTTAATGATAAAAGTCTTACTAATTAACCCATAGCTAGGGATAGAAGAGTTGAATTCATACCTTTCCCAAGGGTATTTGCTTGTAAGTGAATATAACCCAACGGGAATTGGAACTCAGCTCTCCAATTGACATTCATCATTTCAACTTAGAGCCGAAGAGATCAATTAGAAAAGCTCCAACTCAATCCATAAGACAATTGGCAACTGAGAGGAGTTTCAGCTATGACAGTCCAAAGAGCAGTGAAAAAAGACTTGAAAATGAAATTGTACATGAAACCTATGAGACACCTTATTACTCCAGGACAGAAAGCTAGAAGGTTAGAGAGAGTGAAGATCATCTTGAATACGTTGGAAAATTAGCCTGGAATAATGTGTGTGTGTGTGTGTGTGTGTGTGTGTGTGTGTGTGTGTGTGAACTTTATATCAATCCTTTATTTTCTTCCGATACTTAGCTATGATTAATTAATGATGAATATGTCATTTTTGTTTATGATCGATTTCATCACGATCTTTATGTTAAGCTTGGAGAGTAATTATACATTTTTATTGCTCAAAGTAGAGTCCAATAGTGTTATAAAAACTTTGGAGAATTCCAGTAAGATATCTTTAATCATTTCTAAGATAAAATGGTTCAAAACTTAATCTAACATTTGGACAATTTTTCTGTTACACTTGGTATATCCATTACACCATCTGCACATCCAAGCTTACAGCAACTGGTATTCCAAGCAATTAACCATCTCAGTACAGACCAGGCTTGATGTTGCTTAACTTCAATGATTGTACAGGAACCGGTGTTTCAATATGATGTGGCCCTAAGCCCCAAGTACTCAGATAATACTAAATTACGTTAGAGCAGAAAACTTCCCAACACAAATATTTCCAAGCAAAGAAAACTATATAGCATTTAAATCTATACCAACCCAGTGGATACCTCAGTTGACAGACCAGTATATATATATATATATATATATATATATATATATAGCTTCCTTACTCTCCAATGATGCTTTCAGTCAGTTATCTGGACACAAAGTAAATAGTGTGTGAACTTCTCCTTCCAGATATGGTTTACCATACCAGATTTTTCTACCTTACCCTTAATGTTTTTTTCCTGTTTCTTGAGTCTGACTTTAAGAGAACAGATGTTTTTTCCCCACTTTAAATAACAAGCCACACATGCATAGTATGTTATAAATGCAGTTTTTTGTCAGACTTTTCTCTTATAAAAGACCAACTGTAGGAAGAAGTTTGCAAAGGGTAAATTTACACCTGTCCTTCAGATGTTTGCTTATAATGAAAAGTCCAACACTTTACTAGAGAGAAATTATCTTAAATATTTAGTAAATAAACATGTAATAAATTTGAGAAGAAAACAAGAACATCTGTCTATATTTCTGAGATGAGGTACTGTTTCTATTTACACTGTTTACATTGTTTGGACTATTGTCCTCATCATTATTGTCATATTCACAACGTTTCGGCCGTTGTATGCTCTGGCCTTCTTCTGGTGATATACATTTGGTCCAGTGGATAAAAGCACTGATTGAAGTAATCCAGTAACTTGGCTCAAAGAGTTGTGAGTTCAATACCTGGCCACAGCAGAGATGAACCAAAACTTGGAGAGGTGAGTTACTAAAGGGAAATAACTGAAACCGAGATATACAGAAAAGGCATGGCACGTGGAACTAGAACAATCTACCTCAGTGAACGAAATAAAGGGTTCAGTTCGAAATTCCAACATATATCACCTGATGAAGGCCGAAGCGTACAATGGTCAAAATGTTGTGGATATAAAGATGAGGACAATAGTCCAAAAGATATAAATAGGAACAATAAATAAAATAATATTAATAAAAAGAAAAAAGGTTAAAAAAGAAAAAGAAAACAAAACAAGATGACAACATTGAGACGACAGAAATGAAATAGCATCTTTTATAAGCAAAAAATGCCAAAAACAAGAGGATGCAAAAAGAGAGGTTACAGGAAGTTTAAATGATAAGAAACAATGTCAGTTAACCCTAGCTAGCAATGAATTAAATTGCAGGGTAGACTTTGCTCTCAAGCCTTGACTGGCAATCAGTCTCAGAGAACAACTCCTCAGAATTCAAAAACCAATGGAGAAGTTAATAGGAAAATAATCTCTTTCCCAAGAATAACCATGACAATGTACAGTTTATAGAGAACAAAAGAAAAAGAAGCTATAGAGAGCCATGACCCCCTGAAGGGACATTACATTAAAAAAATATAACCTTAAGAGGTCATTTTTGTATAAGGGTTGTAACCAATGTAAAACTCATATGCACAAATAAAACATGCTCAACAGTATGTAGTTTTCTATCTGCTTCTTTACTGCACATTTCAAATACAGCATATTTGTATGAATTTCTACGTTTGTATCATATATTTACATTTTCAAAAAACATTGTATGACTGCTGATACAGAATTTTTTTCACAACAGGAGCAGCTATAATCTTACTGAGTCATGGGAAAATTGCAGCCTATGGGCCACATGTGGTCTGTTTGGCTCTCTGAATGGCATGCCTAATTTAATCGGGAAGATAAGGTTTATTAAAATTGTATTCCTTTCATTTCATTTCATTCTCACTTGTTCACTCACACTTTCTCACACTTTACCATGTACAGAAAGAATGATTAAGTACAATGTTTACTGAATTTTGTAAATTTTCGTTGGAGGTAACGTTTTCATCATTTTAAACCAGCCTTTCTCAAAGGGGGTTCCCTGGAACCCTAAGGTTCCGCAAAAGGTCCCCAAGGATTCCACGAGAACTGGTGAGATAAGCTAATGCACTTCTGACTTTTTATTTAATACTTGATTTACCTTATGTCTTTTCAACATTGCCAGTAAAGGATAAAAAAATTAAAAAAAAAAACTGATGCAGCAAGTATCCGTTTTCATTTTGTTTACATTTATATTCTAGGTATATGATATATTTTTTACGTTTGAGTTTAGAATGTTTTTTGTGTGAATGAAAACTCCCTGATGAAGTATTATAAATGAACAGTATGAATTTTATTTAACATTACCAAAAAATCTGACAAAGAAGTATTAATATTTCCTTAAACCAGTTATTCAAAAATATGTTATGATATTTACCACGTGAACTACGATGAAAATAAAATGAGAAAGATATGGTATAGAATTTTGTTTTTGTGCAGGGATTCCTTGAGACATGTAATTTCAGATGAGTTGCCGTTTTATATTAATGGATTTGGAAAATTGTCATCTTTACAGTTACGCTTTTTCTTTTTGATGGATTTTACTGTTTCCTTTTTATGTATTTTAAGATTTTAATGTTTTTTTTTTAATTGACTTTTCTTTTTTAATGGGTTAGGTAAATTGTCTTCATCCTTACAAATATTTTTTTTCTTTTTAATGGACTTTACTGTGTTTATTTTTTAATGTATTTTAAGATTTTAATGCTTTTTTATTATTATGCTTTTTATTATTATTTTATATTATTATTATTTCCTATTATTATTTTATTATCATTATTTTTCTTTTCTTTTTTAATAGGTTTGGAAAATTGTCTTCATCCTTACTACAATTTTTTATAGAGTTTAAAAGATTTCATTTTTAATTGATTTTTTAACGTTTTCAATAGATTTCTTTTTTGCTGATTTTTCTTTTGTAATGGATTCTTACTGCTGTTTTTTTCATACTGTTTCATTCTCCTGCCTTCTGTGAAAGGAATCAGCTAAAACATAACAAAACACAAAGATATCAAAAAAGTGATAAACACAATGGAGACTAGTGAATAAGAAAGAAAATGTAAATTTGAATTTTTTTTTTTGAACGAGCCAGAAGCTAAAAATGAACTTGAAACTGATGCTTGGATCTTCATCCTCCAGGTAAAAACACCCCATTTCACTAAACAAAATAATCTCAGAATCATACACTGATTTATCCAGTATTAACCAAATGAATCTGGTAATGTCTGGATTACTCTCCATGTGGCCTTAAGTCACATGCAAAACAAACCACACTTACAAAGAAAAATGAATCATGTTTTTTATACTTACAAGTACTTTCAAAATTTATTAATAATTTTGATACTTTCTTTCATAATTTGTAATTATATTTTTTTTAATTAATTTTGGTACAGTCTTATTATTTTTATTTCTTCTGATATAAAAGAGAAATGCCAAACATGATGCAATGAAAATTATTATTGTATATTAACACTTTTAGTACACATGTTTTTCTTTGCCAACTTATGTTAGAATAGAATAGGGATTCCTCAAAAACTAAATAACTTCCCTGAAAAGCATGTATTAGTCACAGCATCAAGCAGAGGAGAAAATGAATACAAAGTGTGAAATTCAAAAAGGGAATATTATATAAATGAATATTTATTACTGTACAGATAAATTAGTGAAAATGTTAAACAACCATTGTTACTGAAAGATTTAAATATTAATGAAATAAATAAAATTCATGAGTAAAAAAGTTTGAGGTGAAAAGAAAAATTTATATTAGAAAAATTCTTTGGATGTCATTCTTTAAGATCCTAAAAAGGATTCTTTTCTATAAAATCTTACAAATAAATCTATTATGTAAAATCCTAAAAGGTATTCTTTGTATGAGATTGTACAAGGGATTCTTTCCTATGAGATCCAACAAGTGATTAATTCTACAAGATCCTAAAAGAGATTCTTTTCTACAAGATCATACAAATGAATCATACTTATTATAAAACCCAGGTTGTGTGTGTCTGTTCGTTTATATATTGGATCAGATTTCCTACATTTTTCAACCGATTTCAACAAAACTTCACAGGACTACGTAAAATTACCTTGTGGTGGTTCTGACAGCGCCAAAAATTGAAAAAACACAATTGTTTTTTGCACAAAATCAATTTGAAAACTCGATTAAGAGTCATCACTGATGCAAGAATGAAAGGGGGACAACTCATATCGAGTTATACTTATTATAAAACCCAGGTTGTTTGTGTGTGTGTGTGTGTGTGTTCATTTATATATGGGATCAGATTTCCTACATTTTTCAACCAATTTCAACAAAACTTCACTTTTTTTTTGGCAGATAGTGTTTCTTATTGTCTTGCACACTTTTTTCTTTATTTTTACATTCAGAATGCTTTAAAAATTCCATTTACAAGACAATTATTTATAATAAAATTCTATTCAATCGGTAGAGACTCATAACGATTGAAAACAATGTTTTTGTTTGAGTTTTACCAATTCGTAAAAAAAAAAAACAAAAAACAAAAAAAACTAATTAACACATGCGTATCCATCAACCTTAAACAATAATCTTTGTCAATTTTATTTTTCAGTCTTTATGATGGTCGATACTTGATCTATCTCTTACTGTTACATCCCCGGGCAACGCCGGGCTCTACTGCTAGTCTTTACTATAAGTAAATCTATGATGTAAAATCCTACAAGGTATTCTTTGTATAAGATCCTACAAGGGATTCTTTTTTCACAAGATCCAACAAGGGATTTGTTGTATCGTCGAGGTGAATGATACACAGAGAAGAATGAGTGCTTAATATATTTATTCAGCACCAGTATCTGGTGCTAATGGATGCATACAAAAAACACAGAACAATAAGTTACAAATCAATTAACAAGACAACTTACAAGGGATAGAGGAGGGTCAAATGCTGTATAGCCAAATGAAGTAAGATCAGTCCAAATATTAATCAGTATCAACTTATTAATCAACTGTTGAAGTTCTTAATCATAGACTATTTAAGGCTATGAGCCAGGTCACCTGGTAGAGTGCTGAAGGAGTGCTAGCTACTCAACAACAGGATTCTTTTTTCACAAAATCATACAAGAGATTCTTTTCTACAAAATCCTACAAGGGATTCTTTTCTACAACATCCTCCAAGTGTTTCTTTTCTACAAGGTTCTACAAGTGATTCTATTGTACAAGATCCTACAAGTAATTCTATAAGAGTTGTGTCATGCCAGTGACATCTACTGACCTGTATTCTACAACAACTGTCTGACCATTTTTTGAATCTGTCAAATTGGTGCATCCATCTTCATTGATTACAGCATCATGCAGGTGACTGCAAAATCCAAATCTGGAACCTTCATTTCTCACGGCACCAAGGACATTCTGAAAACAAGCAAAGATTAGTTTATGCAAATATCAGTAAGAAGGAAGACAACTAGTAATTTTTAAGCAATTAATTAATCTTTTAATCCAAAATTATTTATCGTTATTATAAATGTTATATTTAGTGAGTACCATATTTTCCAGCTTGGAAGACGTAACCTAATATTGGAAAGAAATTTCTAAGAAAAAAAAGTCATTCTCATACAACAACACATTCACCATGCATCCCTCACATACTGGCACCATGTATTGTTTACATTAATCACTCATCTGATTTTGTTTGTATGGTAATGACATACTAGTCAAGAGCAGAAAGGCTCCCGCCGCTGCTAGTAAACAGAGCATGTTTAAGGTTGTGGCTCAGCTCCAGGAAGGTTTATAGTCTTGGAAATACTATAAAAGCTATGTACTGAGGTTACTTCATATAAAAGGCTGAATTAGATAGCTAACATTATAGTGTAATGACTCAACATATAAATCTATGTCCCTATCAGCCAAGCCAATTAGGTGACTGACCAAGCTTACTTGAGCCTGAGCGTTGCCTTACATTCGTCTTGGAAGACACACACATATTTTTCAGGGCATTTTTTAGAGGAAAAAGTGTGTCTTGTAATCCAGAAAATATGGTACATGTTTCAGTAAACTTGCCTTCATTTTGTTTTTTAGCAGTGAAATTGACATCTACCAGACTGGGAAACTAAAAGTCTCATTAAAGAAATGCCATGCTTAGAATATTGCTGCCATATATGGTCTGATACTCCAGCTATATATTTTGAAATCCTTCATAAAATCCAAAGAATCTGCAATGTTACTGGTCTTGATCTGGCATCTCAGTTTCAGTCACCTTTCCACTGCAGTAACATAGCTTCTCTATGCCTTTTCTATAAATACTTTTATGGTAAATGTTCTGATGAATTCAAACACATTACTAGATTAGTTTCAAGATCTCATTATTTTAATGGTAAGTTCTACACTAACAGTTTCCTTCCTCGATCTTCTCATTTGTGGAACTCTCTCCAAGCTTCTTGCTTTCCAGTCGACTTTGATCTTCAAAAATTTAAATGCAATGTCAATTGTTATCTTCTGTTCTCTTAAATTCTCTCCTTTTATTGTTCATGCTCCTTAATAATGTTTTACTTACATTATTTCACCCTCAATCACCCACTACACATTAGTGGCTTTGTTGCCTTGCTTGGAGTGAAATGATTATTAAAAAAAAAAAAAAAAATACCTCATGACAGGAATCAACCTCCTTTAAGTAAAACCTGCTTAACCACTCAGTCACAAGAGACCTCACAGCAAAGCAACCAAGGGATCCTAACAAGGGATTCTTTTCTATAAGATCCGACAAGTGATTTTTTTCTACATCCTCCAACTTCTTTTTTCACAAAATCCAACAAGGGATTCTTGTTTCATACTGTTTCATTCTCCTGCCTTCTGTGAAAGGAATCAGCTAAAACATAACAAAACACAAAGATATCAAAAAAGTGATAAACACAATGGAGACTAGTGAATAAGAAAGAAAATGTAATGTGTTTCTGTTGAGGGGTCCACCCTTTTTTATACAAATGAACTCACCCAGTATATACATATACTACTGCAAGAGCGAGACGAGAGCAAGACCGAAGAGTCGAGTCAAGTCGAGTCCCGAGTGACAGAGTGAAAGGTTGTAGGTAACCGGAAGAGTGAGGGTGAGGTAACAGCGTCATAGGAGTCACAGTGAGCGAGCACGTAGACTCAGTAAGAAGTCATACAGCGATACTTCAATACCAAAGACTGTATATATATTTTGCTACTAACCCGTATTCCTGGAATTACTAACCTGCTTTACCAGTTTGTATTATTATGTTAATACATTATTTTCATATATTCATTCCTGGTGTTTGTTATTTATTGGTACTGGATTTCATCCCGGAATCCACAACAGTTTCTTTTCTACACGGTTCTACAAGTGATTCTATTGTACAAGATCCTACAAGTAATTCTATAAGAGTTGTGACATGCCAGTGACATCTACTGACCTGTATTCTACAACAACTGTCTGACCATTTTGCAGACAAGGAAAAAAATCAGTGATTGTCTTTGAGAACTCTTGCAGGGCCAACCTGAAGGAGAAATGCCACGGGAAGAAGGACCAGGAAGCCTCAGTAGCTATAACAGACCAGACCTTTAATTGCAGTCACTGTGGTAGAACTTGCCTGTCCCACATAAGCCTAGGTATGTTTTTAACCATTCCATCAAGAGATATCTCACAGCAAATCAAGACTCAATCACCTTGCTATACCAACATCTATGAAGATGAATCATCCTCATTTTTCCCATATTCCATTAGTAAGAAGTTGCACTTGGACAGGTTCTTTCCAAAATCTGTTTTATGGAACAGACTCCTGGCAGAATCTATTCAATCTTGACCTCTTCAAGTCTAGGGTTAACTGTTACATTTCCAACATAATATCATAAATGGCACTTCTTTCATTCTCTTACACTCACACAATGCCATACAGTGATCCCCTACCTTGAGTGGCTCTTGCGCCTTGTATTGGGTGAACATAAGTATAAAAAAAGTACAAAATTACCACTGGATACTGAACGTTTTCAGCTACAAAATACTATTTTGCTACATAGTCACCAGAAGAATTTTTGACAGAGATAAAGAAAATCTGGGTTTATCATACACATCATTATATATTTGTGTATATATATATATTTTTTAATAAAAACAGACCACTTTAAGGTTCCATGAAATAAATTATTTCAGCACAGCCCTTTTAAAGGGCTCTGGATCATCAGACTTTACTTTCAAAGGTTGAAATGAAAAAAATTTTTTTTTTCATTTCAACCTTTTTCTCCGATATCATCCTCCCATACGGATTACCTAGTTTTACATAAACTAAATATATATATATATATATATATATATATATATATATATATATATATATATATATTGATATGCCCCAGAAAGGATATATTTGCTCGAAGTAGCAAAGAGGTTGTTGACTACTGTGACGGATAGGACAATCTATAGCAGGTAACCGTAATGGACTGGTCCTCCTCGTAGTGGTTGGCAATAGGCAAAGACAATAGGCGTAGTCCTGTTACCTCCACCTCAGTCTGTATTTATGGCTGACACCAGCCAATCATATTACTGTGAAAGGGAACCCAGGTGTATGCATATTCATTACATCATATATATATATATATATATATATATATATATATATGATAATACGACGCTGTCTCCATACATCCTGAACATTCACCGGAGTGAATATGTCACCAATGTTGAGGTCCTTGAACAGACGGAAATCCCCAGCATTGAAGCCATGTTGCTGAAGTCACAGCTATGCTGGGTAGGGCGCATCTTCAGAATTGACCATTGCCTGTTCAATATAGCTCTGTATGGCATACTCTCCAGTGACCACCATGACAGGGTGGGGGGGCAAACCAAAGAAACGTTATAAGGACTCCCTCAAGAAGTTCCTCGGTACCTGCCACAGTGAACTTCGCCAGTGGTCGACACTTGTTGCTGACCATCAAGCCTGGCACTGCACCATTCACCAGGCTGTCTCCCCCTTTGAGGACTCTTGCAGAGCCAACCTGAAAGAGAAACACTGCAGGAGGAAGGACCGGGAAGCCTCAGTAGCTATACCAGACCAGACCTTTAATTGCAGTCGCTGCGGCCGGACCTGCCTGTCCCGCATCGGCCTAGTCGACCATCAGCATGCCTGCAGTTGATGTGGACAGCCCACTTCATAATTCTTCATTCGCAAAGACAGGTCAAGATATATATAATGGACTCTCAAGTTGAATTCAACATATGAGAATCTGACAAATTAACCAATTCATTCAGTTTATATATATATATATATATATATATATATATATATATATATATAGGATTATATACCAACAGATTATTACCTTTACCATCTCTCTCTCTCTCTATATATATATATATATATATATATATATATATAATGAAGAAACTGAAACCCAATCCTAAACAGAAAACAAAGGATAAACCTTTACTCCTGTTCAAAAGACGGAGAGGAGTATGAACTGGACAATAGGTAAACATATCTACTCCTTTTGAGAAACAAATAAATAGTAAATAAAATTTCAGAGTTTAGGCAGAAATGTTTGAAGCATTGAGTTGAAGTAGACTTTAGAAGGAACCAGAAACCAAATCCTAACCGGGAAACAAGGGATAAACCTCTACTCCTGTTCAAAAGGCCAGGGAGGAGTGTGAACTGGATGACAGGAAAACCTATCTACACCTATTGAGAAAAGTGTGGCCTGGCTAGCAATGAGCAATATCTTATGCAGCCCATATTTTGAAAAAGGTTGCCCATGCCTGTTCGAGGCTATAAGCTAATAAATCATTTTAAAATTAAGACACTAATTTATTAAATTGTAAACATTTTAACAAAAAAAAAAACAAAAAAAACATTCATCCTACCTTAGTAATACTTGTTGGATCAAATCCAAAGAGTAAATATTTATCATCAGATCCGATTTGTATTTCCTTACAAGGTTGACTCTGAAATAGAATAAAATTATCAGATTGATACAAGTGTTTCTAGCTTTTCACAAACATTTTTATTCATATAAATTCATAACATCATTATTCAGTCATCAAAATATTTCCTCTGGCTTTCTGAATTTTCACCAACTTTCAGTTGTGTATACCATGATATTACATTGGTACAAAGGTTTCAAGGATTTCTTGAGAAAAAAATATTGCATAAATTCATAGCACTGTAATGGATTCTTCACTGATTTTGTTCCTTGTCTGCAAGTGATTCAGCTTAGTGATTCCAAGAAATTTAAAATATTAAAAATTCCTTTGAAGAATTCATCAAAACAAAACTGTAATTGTTCTCTTATGATAGAATACACAGTTTAGCCGGAAGGTCATGGAAAGCCAAGGAAAATACTTTCATGACTAAATATAGATACATTGAATTTAAATAAATGAATGTTTTCCTTTTTTTCAATGTCAGGAACTTTTGCATCAACATTATAAGATGGAATATAAAATTTAGCTGAAAGGTGGTATAAGGTTCTATATACTCTGGACAACACTTTGATACCTATATAATGATGCTTGCTTTTACTTTTAGGCTTACTACTGGTCATAAAACACCAGATACTTAAGAATTAGATAAAAATCGTTTACTGTTCAATTTGTGAGTGTTCCAATTATGATGCAGTCCCATTTCCTTGCAAATGTTTGGATTTAAAAGCTTCTCTTTCACATCTAGATCACATAATAAAACTTTTTCTTTTTTTTTTTAAAATAATATAGTAACCTTTAAAGTAAAATGGATTTATCATAAGAATCAAAAATATAAAAAAACCATGTTTAACTATAGGGTCTCAATCTAAATTTTAAAAGTTTTCTCTGTTTTTTTTTTTGTGTGAATCAAAAGGAATACTTTATGATGAATTGCCAGAACCTGGGAAAATTTATTACTGCACAAAAAAAATGAAGGAAAAAAAACAAACTTTTCTTTGTGTTTCCTACTCAAAGAAAAGTTTTTTTTCCATAGTATTGTGTTGGTTGAAATTCATAAAATCTTCTCTTCAAACAATTTTTAGGAAGACTGTAGGCTTTATCACTCTTTCCGGTATTGATGGAGGTTTCCTTCCTAACCTTTTTTTTGGAGTAGTGTAGAATATCAACATTAAGACTTAGATTTCTAATATGATTCTTCTATTTTATATCTTTACTATATTAGAATAACTTTTATTAACCTTGTCATTTCACATTTCACATTCATGGATTCCATCTTCAAATTCATTGTGAAAAAAATTGCTCTCAAGGTATGCAACAAAATGAACATCTTCACAAGATACCAAATCTCTGACAATAGCAAAGCAAGTCCTGCCAATTGCTGACTGCCATTTTTATTGTTCCTGTCATTTTTATTGGCATGAGACAGTTGACAAAGACCCAGATCTGGACAAGTTGCAGAGAGGCCCATATTTAGACATGCCAAGCTGTTCTGCTGCTAACAGGCAAAACCCAGGTGTGATTAGCTTTGACAGACATGTCTGTACACAACTCAGAGGCACTTTTGTGTCTGTACTGACACATGTTCATATATGAGTATAACATTTTAACTGGGACAATAATGAAATAATTGCTGATAACATGTTTGTTAATTTTGTAAAATAAACTTGCATGTTATCTTTCTGAATAGATGGCAACAAACCACAAAAATTAAATAATTAAAGCAATACCTGTGACAATGAAGTGAGAATTTTTTCTTTGAATCTTTCATTTTCAGAAAAATCTTTATTGAAAAGTAACTTCAAATCCTTGAAGCTGATTTGGAATTGGTCTGTCTGCAGGCTACAAAACAAAAGACAATTTTTACCTTTATGCTTAACCAAAAAGAATTTATAATAATAATACAAGAAAGAATTTCAAAAGGTTCTTTGAACAATTTAATTATATATATATATATATATATAAGCAAATATATGGATATAGATCCGACAGTATGAAGAAAAATATATGGGAAAAACAAACAAAAATCCTAATATGCAATTATGCTGTTTTAATGTTTATATAATGTCAACATCGGACATTTCGGTCTAGTAGACCATCGTCAGGACATATTTCATCTTCACAACATCGCCCACGTGACACTGACGTGATCATATTGAAACGGAACGCTGATCTTGAAAAATTTCAATTGTCTGTTTTGATTAGTCTTACTCTTATGTCCATCGTCTTTTCATGTTGAATTAAATATAGTCTAATGTTAATTATGTTTTATGAATATGTCCTGAAGATGGTCTACTAGACCGAAACGTCCGATGTTGACATTATATTAACATTAAAACAGCATAATTGCATATTAGGATTTTTGTTTGTGTTTTTTCCGTATATTTTTCTTCATATATATATATATATATATACACACACACATATACATGTGCATACATTTATGTTTTGTTTGTTTAATAGCATATCAACTCCTTATGGGTCATTTAATGGCAACATTTAATTTTCTTGGGTGATTTGAAGTAATAAAAGTATGTGTTATTCTGCTTTCACAATTGAATACATGGTAGATGATACTCAGCTTTTAAGCATATACATGTTTGAGTGGACATAATTTCAAGAGGTCGTGATATGTGTGTTTTAAGTTGTAGCTTTGTTGAAGTGATATTTTGGAATACAGTTTGATTACTTTAAGAAATTGTAGGATATTATATGGATTAATGTCATGGAAGAGTTCTTTCATGTTGGTTGTTTGGTTGATTTTGTTTAGTGGCATTTCAACACCTATATGGGTTATTTAATGCCGAAATCAAAATATTTTGAATACAATTGTATACCTTCAACTACAGATAAAATGTATTGTTGGTCATTTTATTATAAATAGGTATTGTTGGGAATTTTTTTATAGAAAAATGTATTGTTGGTATTTTTATACTTTCATAATGTTTTGTTTTTGTTTGGGAGTTCACTATTTGTCCATAGCTAGGACCCTAACGGGTGCTACCACTCCAGGTCAGGATGGGCCTGGGAACAAATATTACATATTAATACTTATATATTTTCGATCAATGAATGTTGACAGTTTCCTTATAAAGAAATAGCCAATTTCATCACTATTATACCAACTTTTTCTCATTTTTAATTATAGTTTACTTGCTTTAAAACTGTCTTTTCTCCTTGCATACAGAATACGGCATAAATACTCTTAGATAAGAAAAAGCTCAGAACTTCTGAAAAAATAATTATATCATCATATTTTTGGCTTAAAGTACTAAAATGGATAGCACATGTAACTCAAAAAGACAATAATGACATAATCAATATGTTGATGCTCCACACTACTGCAAACAAAAGGTTAAGAAGGAAACCTCCCATCAATACTGGAAAGAGCAATAACAGCTACTGGACTTGAGAAACCTATTTTCGTCAGAGAAAGATTTTATAAATTTCAAATGACTAAAACTAGCTACTGCCATTTTGTTCAAGTTTAAATATTTCCCTTACCATGATGGGAAGCAGAAACCTGATACTAATAAATATTAAAGGAAAATGGCTTAACTGGTAGCTGATAACAGTAAAAAATACTTTTTCTAAATCAATCTTCTTTGAAAGTATTCAATTTCAGAGACTTTAATACTAAAAGTTAAATTTTACTATACACATATGGCATATTGTCAGATAATCCTTGGTTATTATAATAAACTAGCAGTAGAACCCGGCATTGCCCGGGGATGTAACAGTAAGAGATAGATCAAGTATCGACTATCATAAAGACT